ATGAGCCCAATGGGTGATGACAGGGGTGGCTGGAGAAAGAGGCTGACTAGTATCCACAGGATGGGTCATCCCATCTACTTGATTTTTAAAGTCCTCCTCTGCTGAGGTCACTGTTTGATGAGAATTCACATGCAACACAAATATCTTCCCATCTTTTGTCCACTCAGAGAGGTCTGCCCACTGACTTACGCAAATCTCCTCTGGAAACATCTTCCTAGACATACCCAAAAGTAGTGCTTTACCAGTCTTGTGGGGGCGCGCCTGGGGTCCTCCCACAGACCCAGAAGGAGAAGGAGCCGACAGGATTACCCCTGGCGTTGGGACCGAGGGATCTCGGGGAAAAGTGAGCCTGCTGCCCGCCAACCCAGCCCCATGAAAGAGACACTCAGACGTGGCAGGGGTTCTGTCAGGGCTGACTTTATTGCTGTTACACTGCAATTTATATAGGCAAGCAGGTAGGGGCTTTCCATGAACTAACCAATCAATGAAAGGATCACGTGGGCATGCATTTTGTACTAACATGTTGAGCATAGTGATCACGCAGGGTTCACGAGTGCGGAAATACTGGAGGACCAATAAAAACCTTTTGGAGCTATCTTGGCTTATACCTTCCCCTACTTCCCGTGGGTGCCATCTTCATCCTCCACCCATAGGCACCATGTGGCTCACAGATAATGTTTGCTCCTAAAAATGGGCCCAACAAGTTCTCTAGGTATTTCTTAATCTAGTCAAGTTGACACCTAAAATTAACCATCACAGTTTATGAACCCCTCTGATTAGATACTCTAGTTATTTGGTCTGAAAATCTGCATTTTTTTTTTTTAAACCGGTAAGGGGATCACAACCCTCGGCATGGTGTGGTCCACACCACACTCAGCCAGTGAGCGCACCGGCCATCCCTATATAGGATCCGAACCTGTGGCCTCGGCGCTCCAGCACAGCACTCTCCCGAGTGAGCCACGGGGCGGCTCTGAAAGTCTGCATTTTTGAAGAGCCTACTTAAGCAGACTCATATTCATTAGAATTTGAGAATCACTGTCACAGCCCAAAGCCCTGATCTTATTATTTTATACAGCATCAGAGACAACTGTGCCTTTTTCCCAACTCCGGATGAGTAGGTGTCAACCAGGGATTGAGGACTTCTGCCTCCAAAAACTGTATCCTCACACACCTAATGCTTTGATAGACATTCAAGACATACTTATTGAATTAAATGAAATAAGGCTCATTCTGGAAAGAAACAGGAATTAAAATGGATGCCTACCTATTATTCCAACTTTGGATATAAAATCCAGTCATTTCATGAGCCCTATATTCTCGCTGTTGCTTTTTAGGCAACTTACTGCCCTTGCATTATCTTCTGCACTGGAGCATGAGGTCAGCAAACTACCACCTGAGACCAGATTTAACCTCTCAACTGTTTTTGTAAGTAAAATTTTATTGGGACACAGCCCCACTCATCAGTTTACATATTGTCTCTGTCTGCATTAATTGATTACAGAGAACTTACAGTTTTAATAGAGACCTTATGGCCCACAGAACCTAAAATATTTATCTGGTCCTTTACAGAAAAAAGTTTTCTGCCTCCTGCATTAAGAAATTGAAGGGGAATAAATAGAGATTATTTCACATTTTGTCTTTTAAGTCTTTTCTAGTAAAAGATTGATATACACCTGTGAACAATAGCAGGTAAAATTAAGTGGGTTTTTATTTTTGAGAGGTATCATAAGGTATTCTATTTGCCTGAAACTACCGGTCTAGTCAGCCTTTTTGGTAACCTAAAATTTATACTCCTTAAGGCTGTATTTCCCAAAGTGTGGATCCCACACTACTTGCATCTAAATTATCTGGCGTGCTTATTTAAAATGTGGATTCCTGGATCCCACCAAAGACCTACTTAATGGGAATTTCTGGAGGTAGGCCTGGATATTTGATTACTTCCTCTTTTGTAACCACCATTGCCCCTCTTAGAGCAAGCAACAAGATACAGTTATTTGTTTACACACTTGTCTCTCCTATTAAGACTGTGAACTCCTTCAGGGTAGGTATGGTGTTACTCATTATTTTTGTATTGCAAGCCCCAGGGTGGGCACATTAATTGCAGTACTCAAAGGGTGGTCCATGGATCCTGTTAGTCCTAGAGACTCTTTCAGGAGTAATAAGGTCAACACTATTTTTGCCATAATAAGACGTGATTTACTTTTTTTTTGCTGTGTTGATGTTTGTACTATTGATACAAAGAAATGGTAGGTAAAATGTCTGCCACCTTAGCATGAATTAAGGCAGTAGTCATATTCTTTGCTGCCATGCATTCATAATTAAGAATAGTGCCAGTTTCACCTAAGAATATACCCTTCATGAAGCAGTAAAAATCATTAATTTTGTTAACTCTTAAACCTTGGGTTTACATCTTTTTCACATTCTATGTGATGAAATGGTTACTATGCATAAAACAATTCTGTTGTATACCAAAGTATGATGACGGTCACTTGAGGAAAAAGCACTCAAATGATTATTTGAACTGGAAGTTGAACTAGCTGCTCTTATTTCATAGAATATCATTTTTATTTGAAAGTCCAACTGACAAACAACTATGGCTATTTGGATTTAGGTATTTAGCAGAACTTTTCTTGAAAACAAAGTGACCTTGTCACTTCAGGAAGACAATTGACAGTATTTGTTGCCAGTGATAAAATGTGACCTTTCAAGAAAAAGGTAGAGGGTCTGGCTGGTTAGCTCAGTTGGTTAGAGCATGGTGTAGATAACACCAAGGTCCAGGGTTCAATCCCTGTACTGGCCAGCCACCAAAAACAAAATGAAAAAAAAAAAAAAAACTGAAAAGAAAGAAGTAGAAGTTTGGATAATTTGAGCTTGACAGCTTCCCAATACTTAAAAACTTTTCTGATGAGATCAGTGATGATTATATTAAAAAAAAAAAAAAAAAGTACAATGAAATGTTAACATCTAGAAGATCTGCATAGTTCAGTGAACTGATATTTTTCCAGATGACTGATACATGACGTCATGAACCATGCACCGTTAAAAGATCCATTCAAAGTGCAAGATAGACCAATGGATTTTAATGGTATCAGAATATGAAGAGTTTATTGACGTGTTTTCAGATTTCACATTGCAACTGACTTTTAAAAAAGGAACTACCATTTATGGCATGAGTGAGGCTAGATTTTCTTCATATTCTCCAACCATAACAGAAATTTTAACAGATTGAATGCAGAAGCAAATGTGAGAATCCAATGGTTTCCTATTAAGCTGGACATTAATTTACAAAAATGTAAAGCAATGCCATTCTTCTCAATGATTTTTTTATTATTTTGGAAATAGTTATTTTTCATAAAAATGTTATTTATGCATGAGATGGGTTTATTACTGTTATCTTAAAATGAATTAATAAATGTTTAAATGTCTCATTCTTAGCTTCTAGTATATAGTGATAAATATAACTTACATAAACAGTACTCTTTAGGGTCTTCAATGACTAGTGAAAAAGGGTGCCAGCCCCCCCAAATTTGAGAACAGCTGGTGTAAAGGAAACAAGATTTGGAGATAGAGAACCCAAATCCAAGTTCCAGTTCTGTCATTTAACTGACTCCTATTTTAGACCAGCTACTTAGTTGCAGGCTATGAAGTCAGACTGTCTGGGTTCATAATTTTAGCTCCACTGCTTGCTGGTAGTGTGATTTTTGGGTGAGTCATTTTACATCTCTGAAGAAAAGGGATAATTACTGTATCTACTTCATCAGGTTGTGGTGAGAATTAAATGAGCTTATACTTGTAAAATGCTTACAACGGTTCCTAGAACATAGTAAGAGCTCAGGAAATGTTAGCAACTGTTATGAATCTATAATATTAACTAGTCATCTGGCAGGATCCTAGAGAATGGGACACAGTCCTGGCATTTTCATGCCACCCATTAATAACAGAAGCTATTTAGGTGTTATAACGTTGAGGGGAAGGTATAAATAAACTTGTAGAGGTTTGTATTTGGCTGTTAATCTGTGAAGAAAATTAATGTGTTATAAAAATTTCCTCTGTTTCCTTTTTCTGAGTTTCTGAAGAAATAACAAAACTGAAAAAAACAAAAAAACAAAAAACATTCCCTAAGCTCTTGCCCTATGATCTAGTTAGAAAATAGGAAAGTATCTTATTTACTACCCAGAGGTCTTCCAGAAAATGAAATCCTCAGGAGAGCAGAGCAGGGCTGCTACTCAGCCTCCTCACTAGGGAATCCATTTCAACTTTTCACGTCTGTTATGTCTTCCTTTTGGGACAAAACTTCCTTTTTGGACAACCTCTCGCAGCTCTTAAATCCTGTCAGTTTCACCTCTGCATCTTTCAGGGGCACCTTTTTGGCAGCCTCTAAATCCCAATAAACGCATAAGGGTAGGGGCCCAAACCCCAGAGGGAACCTTGTTTCCTTGCAAACGCCAGTGGTATCCGTTCTCAGCACCCAGGAGTGGAGCCCCGTCCTCCTCCGACCCGCTCCTTCTCGTCCTGTTTCTCCTCCGGGGCGCGGCATCCCTGCCTCTCCCACGGGTTCCCGCACCGTCCCTGCTTTCCCATCCGGTAGGTGAGCAGTCTGGCCCGGTTGATCCTGGAGAACCTTCCTTTCATTGAAACTGGAAATGCCCCCTTACGGCTATAACGCTATTACCCACTCCTCCCTGTCAAAGCCCCTCTGCCTCACACCCGAGGCTCCGCCGCCGGCCTGAAGAGGAGGGCGCACGCCCTGCCCGCGTGCCCGCGTGCCCGCCCGCGGAGGAGCCACGTCTCGCGCGAGCTCCCACCTCTCGCGACACTTCCCGCCCGTGGCGTGCAGGCCGCGCTCTTGGCCGCCTCGCTGTTGCCCTAGCGGTCTGGCCGGCTGCTCCTCCGCTGCTTGGCCGCTGGGGGCGCGGCACAGCCCGGCATTCCGGCGCCAGCCCCGAGGGGCCGCAGGCTCCGCCCCGCCTCGCCCCGGCTGGGGGAAAGGCCGCGGCGGGGACATGCCGTGCGCCCCTCAGCGAACGCCGGAGAGCGCGAAGGGCGGCGGCGGGGCTGACAGGTGAGACCCCGCGGCTGGGCCGACGAGGCCCGACA